CCATAAATGACAGGTTTCTGGTCAGGGTACAGAGCTGGGCCTTATGGTCATGATTGTAAGGGCAACTGGCCCAGCTGGATTGAACCAGGAGCCCTACCTCAACAAAACCACATCCTGGATAAGCAAATTCACACATTAAAAACAATCTTGAAGCCAGACAAAATGATTCTGCCTGTAATCTTAGCTACTCTGGAGGTGAAGTTCAGGAGGATCAAAGTTTGAGGCCAGTCCAGGCACAAAGTTAGTGAGACTCATCTCCACTTATTAAAGCTGGGCGTGGTCTGATATCCAAGCTATGTGGGAAGCTTACATAGAAGGAACACGCCGAGGCTAGAACCAGCATAAGCATGAAACCGTATTTAACAAACAACTAAATAAAAAAGGGCTGGGGGAGTGACTCAAGTGGTAAAGTGCCTGCCTTAAAGCATGAGGCCCTGAGTTCAAACCCCAGTACTAACAAAAAATAAAAATCTTGACTAGAATTCCATTGCCACTGAACAATCAAGTCAAAACTTCCAGATAGCCTGCACGTGAGGCCCATACAAGTGGGCTCCAGGGCCGTTTCAACCATGACTGCCATCCTCTGTTCCACCCAAATTGAATTACTGAAGGTTTTCAGTAAGGGATGGTCTGGAGTTTTCTGTCTCCTCCCATACTTTTGCTTATGCTGGTCCCTCTGCTTCGAGTACCTGCTCTTCTGAGTCCACAGGTCTGGATACTTCTAGCCCATCAAAGGTGAGTGGAAATGCCATCTCTACCAATTGATCCATCCATCAATCAAAGACTTAAACAACCACACTGATTAAGTGTGTTTAACTGCCCGACACTGTGCTTAAACACACAGGAAGGACTAAGACAAGGCCCTAGGCATGGCTAGGCTCTCTAGGTTTATAACCTTTATTGATATTTTTATTTTATAATATTACATATGTCCTCATGGATAATATTCTTGAGACTTATGGCCAGAGAGGTGCCTGTGTCATTTGTGTCTTCCACACAGTATCTGTGGAGCTCATTATAATGAAAGAGAACAGATGCTTGATAAATGCCTGCAGGAAGAATCAAGCCAAGTTCGGGATGAAGGGGCCTAGGATGGGGCCTGCATCCTTCCCAGTGCCTGGTGCACAGGAAGCACTCGGTACCCATGTGATGTGGGCAGATGTATAGAAGGAAAGCTCTCAACAGCTTCTCGGCTAGGAAGAGTTGCAAAGAGGCTGGGTGTTCTGTTCAGGGCAACCTGAGGACCCACAGTTGAAACCAGAATGTTACACAGTCCATGTGTTAATGAAAGATAGTAGTGTTTCACAAAGCATGAGAAATTTCTCCTGTGATGAGTGGCACTCTACTCCCTATCAACCCAAATTGAGATTCTGTTCTGAGTCATGTATTTAAAGAAAACATTTCAGTATCAACAAAATGTCTTTTTCCAAACTTAGAAGGGTAATCTACAGAGAAACTGAAGACAGATCTGGGCTTTGGCTCATCTTCAGCCTCTTCCTTCTGTCTTGGTGACCCTGCTGTTAACCACCCAGTGTCAGAGTTCAAAAGGTACAGGAAGCACAGTACAGGAAGCCAGGATGCAACGACTGCATTAATTCTTTTTTCTCTCAAATAAGAGATGCAGAAAAAGCTACCGCCTGGACCATTACTCAGCAATAAAAAGGAATGAATTATTGATCCCTAAAAAAACTTGGATGAATTTCCAGAGAATTACACATTAATACGTACAAGTTTCATGTCTTAAAGTACCAGTTAGAAATAAATTTAATTTTTAAAAAAGGCAATCCCCTAAAAGGTACATCTGGATGATTCTATCTACATAAAATTCTTGAAATGACAAAACTATAGATATAAAGAAGAAATCAATAGTTGCCAGGTGCCAGAGCTGGGGAGTTGGAGGGAGAAGGAAGTAGGTGGGGCTATAAAAAGGAAACACAGACAGCCCTGTGGTAATGGGCTGTTCTGTGCTGTGGGATGAACTCAGGGTTTCCACCCCTTGAGCCGCTCTCCTAGTCTGATGTGTATCTTGACTACTGACAATGTTAATAAGCTGACTGTGATCCTGTGCTATCATTTTGCAAGATGTTAGTATTAGAGAAACTAGGCAAAAGCTTTATGTGTTATTTTCTTATAACTACATGTAAATCTATAATTATTTCAAAATTAAAAGTTTAAATTTTTCTCTAAAACAACCTTAAAAAACAGGATCAAAGTTGTAGGATTCACACTTCCTGATTTCAAAACTTATTACAAACCTGCAAGAATCAAATAATGCAGTACTAACACAAAGACACCATACAGAGCAAAGGAACAGTACAGAGCACCCAGAAATAAAACCTCATATATGGTCAAGTGAATCTCAGCAAGGGTGTCTTCATCATTGGATGGGGAAAAGGGCATTCTTTTCCACAAATGGTGCTGGAAAAGTTGGATGTGCATGTGCAACAGAAGGAACAGGATCTTACTGTACTCTGAATACAAAAGTTAACTCGCAATGGATCAAAGACCTATGCAAACAAGTTAAAACTGTAAAAGTCAAAGATGAAAACATAACCTTTGAAAAGCTCCATGATAATGGATTTGACAATGATTTCTTGGGCCTGACCTCCAAAGCACAGGAAACAAAATAAAAAATGGATAAATTGGTTTTCATCAAAATTAAAATTTTCTGTGCATCTAAGTACACAACTAGGTTGGGGGTATAGCTCAGTGGCGTTTGCCTAGCATGGGCAAAGCCTTGAGTTTGATCTCCAGCACCACCCCCCTCAAAAAAAAAAGATATAGTCAACAGAGTGAAAAGGCAACCTGTGGAATGGGAGGAAAAATATTTGCAAATGACATATCTGAGGAAAAACTAAAACCCAGAATATTACTCAATGACAAAAATCAAACCACCCAATTAAAACTTGAATTAACAGGCTGGGGTGTGTGTGGCTCCAGAGGTTGAGTCCTGAATTCAAACCCCAGTACCACCAAGAAAACTGAGCAAAGGACTTGAATAGACATTTCTCCAAAGAAGATAAACAAAAGGTCCGCAAGCATATTAGAGATCCTCTGTATCACTAGTCATTGGCAACAGCAAATTGAAATCACGTGAGGTATGATCTCATCCCTGTTAGGACAGCTACTATTCAAAAACAAAACAAAACAAATGAAATCAAAACAAAAATGTTGGTGAAGATGTGAGAAACCAGTGTGCTGTTGGTGGGAGTGTAACGCAGTAAACTACCATGGAAAACATAAGTATTAGTTCCTTAGGAAAATTAAAAATAGAATTACAGCATGATCCCACAATTTATCTTTTGGGTTTAGTACAAAAGACTTGAAAAAAGCATATAAAAAAGGTAACTGTACACCTGTGCTCATAGCAGTATTATTCATGATAGCTAAAATGCCAAAGCAACGCAAGCACCCATGAGTGGATGAATGGAAAAACAAAATGAAATATATATACACGGTGGAGTATAATTTAGCCTTAAGAAGAAAAAATTCTGACCGATGCTGCATGAGTGAGCCTTATGGACACTACACTAAACTAAGTGAAACAAGCCAGTCACAAAAAGACAAATATGTGTGTGATTCCACTTATAGAAGGTACCTTTTGTAGGCAAGTCATGGAGACAGAAAATGGAATGGTGGTTACCAGGGGCCGGGGAAAGAAGTCTGATGAGTTTTTTTAATGAGTATAGAGTTTTAGTTTTGCAAGATACAAAGTGTTGGGGAGACTGGGTGTACAACAGTGTGAAAGTACTCAGCACTGCTCAGCTGTACACTAAAAATAGTAGCAATAGTACATTTTATGTTTGTGCATTTTACCGAAATTAAAAACAACAAAGTTTAATGATAAGAAAAAAAGCCACCATCTCCTTACTCCAAGTCCCTGTCACTACATCTTACTTTTACAAACCAATGAGAAGAGAAAAGTAGCCCAATCACTTAATTAAACTTCAAAGACTTTCAAAGTCCAGAGATATTGGCACGCTGAGCTTTTCTGATGCTTTAATTAACTGTATAATCCATTTGGATTCACATTCCCTCCGCTGTTACTTAATTCACCTAAAGTTACTATCAACTTCTCAGTAATGATTAGCAATCTGCTTCTTATTTATATTGGCACTTGACCTTAAATAGCTGCAAATTGATACGTGAAAGCCACCGATTCTTCATGAAATAGAAAACTGAGCCTTTTGTTTCTTTTCAGTGCTGTTGTTTTTCACGCGTTTGCTCCTGCCAGCCTCCAAGGTTAATGAGAGCAGGAACTTGTCCTCTTTTTGTTTGGTGTGCACCTCCAATAGCTGCTCCATAAGCTTGTGTGGACTGAGTAAAGTGAGCACTTAGCTGTGCTCTAAGCCGAGCAATGTAAGTGCTGCCAGAAAAGGTTCACGTGGTCAAGGCCCCTCTTACCACACACGACACACATGCTAAGCCTGACGATCAACCATGAAGAAAGTAAGAATTTCTAAGAAACTTCCTGAGAAAAATCACCCCTTTGAGAAGAGGCGAGACATCTACAGTCTATAACAACTCTATTTGGGCACCATTAACTACTAATTTAATTATCTCTACAAAGTGAAAAAAAACAACCAAAAAACCCAAAACAATCAAGGTTAGTTTTCATACTTTGCATAGGCCCCAAGCTGCACACATACTTCCAGAAATGCAATGACAGCATCTGGTTGGAATTGAAGTACCCTCTGGCTGTGTGCTATATACTTCCTTCTCACTCTCCTCAAGTGAGCCACAAAGTCACCTTTTACAATTTTTACTCCTCCTGGAACAGCATCATTTTTCATAATTATGGAGTTTTAATTTCCTGTACGTGAGTGTGCAGTCTTTGATGTATTGAGCCAATTAAGTGAAAGTTGCTTAAAAAACAAAGAAAAAAGGGAAGTTTTGGCAGTAAGCAAAATAGGGAATTTTTTTAAAGGAACCCAAAGTAGTAGGAGTCATTGTCATCAAAGGGGGATTTTCCCATCATCAACATGAAAGTAGGGTCTGACCTGGCCGCCCTTGTTGGTCCTGTTGTTTTTATTCTCTTTCAGTCTTCCCCCTCCTGAGGCCTTGGGTGATTTCTCAACTTGACAGAGTTCCTGAAATGGAGAACATTCCCTCAACATCCAAGTGGGCAGGAAACTCCAAGTATGGAACAAACACAGAAGATGGTGTGGGACTGGGTAGGTACAAACCTTTATTTCTAGTTAAACCTTATAATACCAAAAATGTCACTTTACCTGGTTTCTCTCATAATCAGAAGGGTCACAAGAGGTGAAGGGGTGGATACACTTTCTCTCACGTTTACACCATGCACAGCCAGGTCCAATACATGCCAAGCATCTGCCAACATGGAAAACCAACTTAATTCCTACAATTTTTAGGAAAAATGTTTGTACCCTAGAATTTCCCTCAGTGAGGTGGCATGCAAGCATTTAAAATAATCACGATCTAATAATAAATCCCTGGGCAGACTGAGATGGGGGGGAGGGGGAGAGGACAGTCCTCTGAGGGTGGGCACAGAGTACAACTTAGTGCCCTTCTCTGTGAAGCCCTTGGAGTTGATGAATTGTCATCACACTTGCACAGCTGTTGCCATGGAAACCTGAAGCTGGGGTCACCTGCTGGTCTGTAGATAACAGGAAACCACTGAATCTGTCTCAGAATTCAGTTCTGCTATTTGTCTACCCTCAGGTAAATCCCCCTGAGGCAGCTCCCTCTCTTCCTGCTGCCACCTCCTTGCAGATCAGCAAAACCCACTCACTAGAGCAGCCAGTTGCCTGGAAGATGTGAGACACCCAATGTTACCTGGCAGGAAGAGGGAACGGGGTGCCAGTGTTTGCTTTATAATCAAATTAAGGAAGAACTGTGTCTACTAATCAAATAATCTACCATGCATGGATACCCATGGAGGACTTGAAAAGCATGTCTTAGAATGATCTGAGTTAGAGAAGTAATGGTTTTTTAAAAAAATGGAGCTGGTCTGGAAACATGGCCAAGGGAACCAGAGGAGGACTTGGCAGAGGACAGTATGGGGGACTAGGGCAGAGGGAAGACACATAGGCTGTGGTTTACACTTTCCAAGGAATCCTGAAGTATTCTTAGATTCTGATCTGCAGAAACTACCATTTCCTGGAGGTTGGGGGAGGGGTCAGAGACATCTCTTCATCAAAGAGCAGGTTTATGACTTGCAACCTTCTGCCACCTCAGGCAGGTTTCCTAGCAGGAAGCAGCTACCTATAGAAAGGGCTCTCACCTCTGGGCGACCTGGGTCTTGTTCCTGGGACCTGGGGCAAGTCACTTCCCTTAACCTGGCCTCTTAATCTGTGGACCAGCAGAACTGTCTTGTCTTTTAACTCACCTTGAGCTCTGAAATTCTTCCTTCTTTTTCCTATTTTCTGGACTTCTGAGGCTTTTGTGTTTTTCTTCCCTAAATTCATTCTGTTTCTTAGAAACCATTGACCCTGGCCTGGTGCTGTCTTCTTTCCAAAGTGTCTCAGCAGGAAAGATGAGTTTTAGAACAGCCTTCACCCCTGTGTCAGTGTAAATTCACTCTCCCCACAGTGGGTCCCAGGCCAGGCTGAAAGCAGCTCACATTTTCTGCTCACAGAGTTGGTCAATCACCCCATGCAGAACAAACTACAGAATCCCTAATGATACACGTCCCACTGTTCCCATGGGAACCTCATCCCAACTTCCAACTGGAAGGTCAAGATTCTGAGGTGCATATTTTCTCTGTCTTCTCTGCTTTAGAAGCCAGGAGAGGGGTGTGGCCATACTTCAGGGGGAGGACATAGCTGAATAGGGCCAACAAGTGGTAAAAAGAGGGCAGAGGACAGGGATGTAGCTCAGTGGTAGGGCACTTGCATGGCATGCTCAAGGCCCTGGGTTCGATCCCCAGCATGCCATTAAAAAAAAAAAAGGAGGGAAAGAAAATTGAACATGTTCTTTGGCAAAGAAGACTTTAGCTCATCTGACTCCCTTTATCTGATACTCAGGCCTTCTAAGGCTATCTAAATTCCCAAAGCCATTCTCATCATGGGGTGCCTGGCAATGCCCCCTCTTCCGTCCTTATTTCAAGGTTCCTCTCCCCACGTCTGGAGAAAACACATTTCCCTGTCAACAGTGATCCTTGGGTGCATGCTCCCTCCTCAGCTGCTCCGGTTTACTTGTTAGGGCTTGAATGAGTGAGCTGAGTTTATTAGCTCAGGGGTTCTCTTAGCTCCTGTTAGGCCACGCTCCAAAAGGCACTTTGGAAAGTTCGACTCAACAAAAGAGTTCTTTAGGAAATTGAGGAGTAAAACAAATAAATTAAAACCAATGAGAGAATATTTAAATTTCAAATAAAATCTTACTCTCTTAATGATGCACAGTTGGTAAAGTTGAATCTTTCTGATAAATTCCAAGAAGGGAAGGAGAACGTCACATTGACAACTAAGACATCTGGAGGAAAGAAGGGAGAAAAGTCATTTACAGTGGATTCCTGCCATTGTCAAGCATAGCTGTACATGCAAAAATAAATAAAGAAATGGTTCGCCTTCTCTGCATAGAGGGCATGGGTGTGCCAGCTGTTCCCAACATTTCGATCAGTATGGGGCTCCTTCCCCACGGGCCATTCACAACAGGCAACCACAGTGCACAGCACAAGCCTCCAAACAGACTGAGCCCAACACTAGCTCCAAGACTCCCATGGATAATCACCAGGAAAAGCCATTTTACAGCCCATTTACATCTCATCTCTCCCTGGGATCACTATCTTAGCTTGTAATTGGCTAAGGCGTGAGAATAAAACAAGTCACCGAGCAAGAAGTGCCTAGAATATGAAAACTCGCACTTTGGAAAGAAATCCTGTACCTTCCAAAAAATCCATACTCTGCCAATATTTACCCAGCAAACCCTTATGTGTGGCTTGAGCAGTTGTCAAATCTATGGGTAAAAGTTTTCTTCCTTGCTTTGGAAAACCTATCCATTGGTTAAGAAACCCCAAAAGAATGAAATAAAGATGAAAACTGTGCTGAGTCAGCATTAGAGGAACATGCTGTTATCTTTATCTCCTTAAACACTGAAACTCTATCAAGGCAGTGATGACTAACCCATCTGTTTACCAGAATCACTTGAGAAGAGTAGAATATAGATTCTAGGGCAGTGCACTAGATATCATGATTTGAGTGTATTCAGGAATCTGTGGGTCACATAGAACCAGGTTTGGGTGCTGTGGTCCACAGCAGTGTCACCTTTCAAATCCTATACTGTCCCAGGGACCAGTGCTAATGAGGTTTTAATATCTATTTACTTATATGATTTAATGAAGATAGTAGATGGTACTTTTTTTTTTGTCTTCATGGTACTGAAGCTTGAACTCAGGGCCTGGCACTTGCTAGGCAAGCACTCTACCACTTAAGCCACATCTCCAGCCCTGGATGGCACTTTTCAAATTAAAGTCTTGATAAGAAATTAGTCTGACTTTGTTGGCACCCCTAATTTTCTTACTGAAATTTTATTAGGGTGTGGTTTCCAAAGTCTAAGAGTCCTTATGGTCAGGACTGTCTTCCCAGCAGTCCTGATGGCCAGAATTTCACATCACATTCTGCTCACACAAAGTGGGCTTCTGTGAAATGATATTCTTCTGTTCTATAGACAAGGAGGCTTGGAGGGCTGACACGACTTCCCGTCAGGAGCATTTGAACGGACATTTGATGAGTGTCAGTGGAATGGACATATGGACGCTAAGCATCGAGGGACTCCATTGAAAATACATTTCCATTGAATTGATGAGAGTCCAGTCCAAATGATGATGCCTGCAGAAGTCATTCTTTGATGAGCATCAACTATGCACAAAACACTGGAAATATCACAAGACAATGAATATTCATGATCTTTGCTTTGAGAACATTTATAGTTATTCTGGAAGAGAAAAAATACTGTAGGTGAGGAAAATATAACCTTAACAGCAGAGTCAAGTGAACACTATAATAACACCTGGGTAGGAGATAGGTGTGCCTGGGCAGGGCCATGAGTGTGACAGAAAGATCAGGACAGTGAGAGCTGAATCTGGCAAGGCTATATGGGAGAGGTGACTTTCCCCCATTGTTTCAAAGCATAAGAGAAACAGGACTTGGTGGAAGAGGTGAGGCCACTCCAGGAAGATCAGGGGCAAAGTTTTGGCAATGGTCTCTGGCTGGCTGAGTACAACAGGTGGGAGCAGAACTTGTCTGCTTTCTTAAGAATATGCAGGATATTTGGCAAAGGACAGGCAAAGAGTTGTGAGTAACTGATGGAGGCTCTAAAGGCAACCAATTAGATTTAAAAGTCAGTCTCAAATCTTTAGAATCATATAGGCAAGCAAGTTCTGCATTTTAATTATCCAAACTAACCAGAATTGCATTATAAAGGCTGCATAGTGTGGACAAAGTGGGAAACTGAGGTAATTTTCCAAGCAATTTTGAGCCACACAGCCACCATGAGCCCAGTGGCTGGGAGGCATTTTAAAGCTCGGGTGCATTACGTTCCCTTTGAGGGGTGAAGTGTCAGCTGAGTGCGATGGTCTGAGTACTGGTGTCTCCTCAAAATTTGTATGTTAGAACCTAATACCCTATTTCATCATCTGGGATTTGTGTCCTTAGAAGAGAGGCTAGAGGGAGCTTCCTTGCCCCTTCTGTCCTGCAGTAACAAGGTGCCATCTATGAAGCAGAGGGTGCCCCTAACCAGATGCTGAATCTGCTGGTAGCTTAATCTTGGATTCCTCAGCCTCCAGATCTGTAAACAATAATTTCCTACTGTCTACAAATCACCCAGTCTATGACATTTTGTTATAGCAGCTGGCATGACTAAGGCATTGGGTGACTCCAGCTCTCACCCCACAACTAACTCAGCTCCATTCTTGATCACCACCCATTCTAGAAGGCCCCCACCATAAACTTAACTATACTAGTCTTTCTCATCGGAAGTGACATGAATCCTCTGTCAAGCCTCCTAACCACCTCTTAAATCCACTTGCTTCTCTCCAACCCCATCTTCCCCTACTCCAGCTCTCACACTCTGTCACCTGGACCACCACCATAGCTTTCCTGCTAACTGATCCTAAGGGACTCTCTTTCCCTCCTCTGGTCCATTATTTATCTACATCCATCCACCCACCCATCCATTCATTCACTCACCCAAACTTATTGATTATAAATAACTACTTTGTACCAGACACTGCTCTAAGCACAATAGGGAAAATGTCTTCCCAAAGTTCTTGCCTCCATGGGCTTACATTCCAGTAGGAAAGACAGATAATACACAGTTGTACCTTTCCACAATATAAATCTGATTGTGCCAATATCCAGCTTAGACCTTTCAGAGTCTCATCATAGCTCTTGGGATGATGCCTGGGGTTGACCTGGTCTTCTACAGTCTTCTTTGGTATATATTTTCCTCCCATCCCTATAATACTTGCCTTACCCCTAAAGAACCTTTGTGGTTCTTCAAACATAACTTTTTCTCTTTTGTCCATCACACTAGTTGGCCCTGACTGGAATAGTCTTCTCATCCTGGCTCAACTCTGCTCATCCTCCAGTCTTAGTTAGCGTGATACCACTTCCTTCAGGAAGCTTTCCTTGACACCTCCCCTAACCCCCCATCTAGTTTGGTGTCTTTGTCATGTGTTTCCCATAGCGCACTTGGGTTCATTCACTTACACACTGCATTGTAATAAGCTGCTTGCCTATCTCCACCCTAATAGGCTATAAATAACTCTGACCAAGGGTCAGCTCAGTCTTTTTTTTTTTTTTTTGTCTCTGTATCCCTAGCACCTAGCATAATTCCTGCACATAGCACATGTTCAACAAATACTTCCTGCATGAATGGAGGAATGCAATGAACTTAAACAGACAGAGGACTGGCTGTAATGTCTCCCACCTCATGTAGGCCATTCCCTGGTTTTCAGATTTCTGAATTATCTGAGCCATTTGGGTAGATAGTGTCTGGCTTTACTGTCATCTCCTATCCTATGCACCTGCCTCTGTCACTCTCCAGTCACATCTGATGGTGGGGGTGCTAAAGTCAAAGAATGAGGTAGAGTAGAGGTGGAGACCCAGGTGGGAACCAGCAGGCAGAGAGAGAGTGAATACAGCTGGGAAACGATTCAGATTCCCAGGTGCTTAAAACTTGCTTCCTTAGGCAATCGGAATGTTTCTTGACCTTATAAGCAAACCCAGAGGCACCCACGTACTGTAGCTTGGCCTGGTTGGAATGCTGCAGGCGCAGGTCCGGTTCTGCTGAGATTTCCCCTGGCAGAGCACCTTGCCGATGTCCACATTCCTCACCACGCACTCTGAGTCTGCAGGAGAGAAGCTGCCCGCAATGGTCACTGTGGTCTGTGCAAGTGAAAAGACACAGGAATGCATGACTAGTTTTGCACCATTGCCATCCCTCCTAGAGCCCTTATGTACTCACCCTTTGTACTGCAAGGGGAAGGAGAGCTTCTCAGAAGAGCTGAGGAAAGGACAGAGGTTTCACCGGCTATTTGATCTGATTGCTTGTAAATCACATATTCTATTCTTTGACCACATTTCTGCTCTGTGTGTTTTTCTTATCAATTTTTAAGAGCCCTCTGCATAGTATAGATATTAATCCTTATCTGTCATATTTCTGACACATATTCTCTCCTAATCTACTGTTTGTCTCATAACTTTTGTTTGTGGAATTTCTTACCCTTACACAATGTCTTTTTATGCAATCAAATACAGGATTTCTTATCTTGACTATGAAGTGCTTCCCAAACTCTAGCTTATAAACAAACATAAAATTATTCCATTATCTTTATTGTTTCTTTTGAAAACATGTATCTTCAATCCATCTGGAATTTATTTGTATATATAGTGTAAGATAAGAGTCCAATTGTATTTTTTATACAGATGGTTAATCAACTATGTCATAGCCACTTACTTAAAAAACAAAAACCCTCCTTTTTCCCTCTGGACCAAGACACTACCTTTGCCATATATTACCATATATTTGGAATCCATTTCTAAATGCTGCTCTCTTCCAAAATCTATTGATCTACTTCTATTTCATTGTCACCAAGTTTTTATTACTGTGGCTTTGAATACATTTAACATCTGATAAGATAAATCTTTATTTATCCTCATTTTCATAATCATAGGATTTCCTAGACATTATTCATCCATATGCATTTTAAAATCATTTTATCCAATGGGGAGACTGAGTCTAACTGGAATTGTTCTAAATATATGTGTTCATTTAAGAAACAGCTATATGTTTATGATATTAAGTATTCCCATCCAAACACAAGATTCACTTTCATTTATTTCTCTTTGATCCAGGGTTTATTTAAGAGGGTATTCCTTGATCTCCCAGGTATTAAGAGACATTTGCCACCTCTTTATTACTTACTGTGAATGTGATTAGATAATAGTTAAAGAAGGTGGCCTGTGAAATCTACCTTTAAAATTAGTTACAGTTTGGTGTATAAGAAAATCATGGTGAGATTTGAAAGAAGGGTTTCGTGTGTGTGTGTGTGTGTGTGTGCGCGCGCGCGCGCGCATGCATATAGGTATCCAGGTATATGTGTGTGTGCACAAGCATGTGTCAGTGTATACAGAAGGGACACGGAAAGAAAATCTTGAAACCTCAAATTCATAAAGCAAATTTTCCCAAATAAGTTATTTAAACAGAACAAGGCAGCCAGTTTTCCTTCTCAGATGGAATAGTAAAGGGATTATAAGTATGCCAGTGGTGGATGCGTTGGTATCAGAAAGGAGCTCTGGTGGGAAGATGGTGGGAAGATGGTGGAAAGCTAGAGTGGAGAAGAGGTGATCCTGTCACCTGAGATGGACAGTGATGGTCTCAACAACCTGAGCTATGTCTCTCTCTTGTTATACTTGACCTCTGTGCAGACTTTCTGCACTGCCCGCCTAAGCCTCTGCTAGTACCCTTGTAAACTTGTCGAGTTTATTCCTGTCCCTGGGGCTCATCTCCATCTTTCCATTTTTCAAAACAATTTCATTTCTGGGCCATAAAACATGCTGGAAGAAGGCAAGTTCTTTCAGTCCAACTTCATCTGGGCTGACCTTCAACCATCTCTAAGAAGCTTAATCATAGGAAATGACCCCAGACCACTCCTACTGACTCATCTTCACAGGTGGCTGAACTCTCATTCATGCTGACTTCTTCAACCGACATTTTTGTTTTAGTGGCACTGGGGTTTGAACTCAGGGACTCATGCTTGCTAGGCAGGTGCTTTTATCGCTTGAGCCACTCTGCCAGTCCTCAACCTGTATTTACATCTGCATTCCTAGCCCACAACTTCACATTATCTCACCTATGTATAGATCATAAACTGAATTCGTTGCTTGCACATTTTAACAAGATATCAGAAAGTTTTCAAAAATCTTTTCCCCAACTCTTGATTTTTCCTCATTTTCTTCCAGTTCTCACAGTTATAGTTTAATATAACTGTAATTATTCAATTTATTTATTTCATAATAAGCTCCTAACAAGGCCAAGGGCTACACAAGGTACTAATTAATCATTGAGCCAAACCACTACAATCCTTGCCCTTAAAGAGCATAGACTAGTAGAAATATAGATACTAGAACTAGAGGCCACATGATCCCTCTAGGTATCAAATGATCATCAAGAGATGACAAAATCTGGGCACAGTGGCAATAGAAAGCCCTGGACAGATTCAAGGAAACTTTTAGAGGGAGCATGGGCAAGATTAGCAGTGGAATGTGGATATGGAGCATTCTGGCGGGCAGATGGATGGATGGAGGTACTCCAGGCACCATATACTGAGATGCGACACACTTCAGGAATATGGGTCTAGAGCTCAGAGGAACAATGTGGACTGGAGAGACAGGAGATATGAACATACAAAGGATATATAAAGTCATGGGAGTGGGTAAGATAGACTGTGGGCAGAGTAAAAAGAAAGGAAGAGCCTAAACTGGGCCTTACAAAGCTCCACTACTTAGAGTCAAGGACAGAAAGAGACAGAAAGGGATGCTGAGGCATGACCAGAGAGGAGCAAGAGAGCATGGAGAAGGGTGTAAGGAAGGCAATGGAAGAGCCAGCTTCAAGAACACTACTAATCAACCCAATTAAATAAGGCCTTTCCATATCTGCTGACATGGCTATATGGAGCTTACCAGTGACTTTAGCAAGAACAGGTTCAAGGGAAAAGTGAAGCAGAAGCCAGGCTGGAGTTAGTCTGAAAATAGGAGACAGTATATTGACTCTATCAGTACCTATTTTACTTAACCTTTTTGCTTATTGCCGACAGTTTGGTGATTTTCAGGTTTCTAATTCTATAGATGCTACTGCAATAACATCTTCATGCTTAGGGTTTTTTCTTCTTTCAAGTTACTTCCTTAATTTCTATGCCTGGAACTAGTGCTTCAAACAGAATGAATATATTTATGACTTTTGAAGCACGCTGCCAAATTGCTTTCCAAAAAGGTTGTGCTAATTGGCGTCACCAATACTGGGTGTTAGCATAACTTATTATTGCTTTAATTTGTATTTATTTCATAACTAGTGAGGAGTGAGGTTGAACAGATTTCCATATTTATATCTACTTTTCTGAATATCCTCCTGTGAAAATATATGCTTTTGCCCACTTACTTTTTGGTCTCTTGATACTTTTCTCTTTTTTTTCTAGCTTAATTATCTATAATTAATATTTTGTCTGTGGAAAGTATTTTCCTGAAGTATATGCTTTAATTAACTTATTTTTTCTTGCATAGATTTTTTTTTAAAAAAGGAAGTCAACAACTGAGGGCATAGCTCAAGTGGTAGAGCTCTTGCCTAGTATGCATGAGACCCTAGGCTCAATCCCCAGTATGATACATACACACACACACACACGCACATGCACAAATGTGCACACACACAAAGGAAGTCAACTACATGACTTCTTTTATTATTAAATACTATATTGCATCAGAGCTAAAAAAATTACCATATTTTCAAATTATCTGATGTTCATTTCCATTTTCTGTGAGTTATCTTTTCCTATAAGTTCCTTAATTAGCCTAAATTTTATTTTTATATTTAATGTGAAACATGAATTGAATTATGTTTGCATGAGATAAGCCAGTTATCTCAACACTTTTTATACAATAATTCTTTTGTTTCTTCTTATTTTATAATATCTGATCTTGAAAATACTTACATTTACTTCTGAACTACCTTCTAGGGGTCGTTATTAGCATTTGAAAATCAGAACATGGACTGAATTGCTGTTGACATATATTATCAACAATGTGTACACACACAACATAGGATATACACTTAAAACATATATGTTTACAATGCAATAGGAGTATTGCATTTGTTCAAAATGTGTTTTGGATATTCTCAATCAGTTCACATTATTTTAATTTTAAGAAAATGCCTATCAAAGTTCATTGGAATTACATGGAATCTAGGGAATAAGTTGGGAAAGAAGTGACATTTTAATGGTGTTTTTTTCACCAAGAAATGTGGAATGTTTCTGGCTGTATTCAAGACATTTTCCATATCTTCCAAGAAAATATGTTGTATATATTTATTTACTTATGCTTACATTTTAATTGATAAGGTTCCACTATGACAAATTATAAATAGCTTCAAAAGACTACTTTTCTGCTTTCTAATCATATTAAAAAGAATGGTTTAATGTAAGCTATTGCAAAATCCAAATCACTATTTTTGTAGCTGTCTCCAACAAACATCTCCCAGTAAAAATCACCTTGAAACATAGGATGTATACATTGGAATATATACATTGTTCTTTAAATTTGTGTGTGAATATTAGTTTTGGGGGGGATTTAGTTTTGTTTTTTGGATTTTTGAGGGGGGCAATACTGGAGTTTGAACTCAGGGCCTCACACTTGCTAGGCAGGAGCTCTACTACTTGAGCCACTTCACCAGCCCTGGTATGTGTGTGTTTTCGAGATAGGGTCTCATGAACTATTTGCCTGAGCTGGCTTTGAACTGAGATCCTCCTGATCTCTGCCTCCTGAGTAGCTAGGATTATAGGCACGAGCCACCAGTGCCCAACTCTGTTGTTTTTATGAATGGTATTTTTTTATGAATTTAAGTTAAAAGTTTTACCCAACACATAGTATGGTTATTGATATTTGTGTATTTATTGAATTCAGCACTTCACTTAAATTTATTCATTTGGATAGCTTTTATTCTTATTTTTCATTTTTTGAAGTGTTGAAAATCAAACCAAAGGTCCGTGCATGTTGTGCTCTACCGCTGACTTACGGCTCTCAACCCTATAATAGTTTTTAAAGTGACTACATGCAGGTTTTACAAATACACAGTTTAATATTACTATATGACATTTTTCTATATTTTATCCCAATAGTTATTTTTGTTGTTTCTTGTAATTATTTCACTGGACTGAACTTTAAAAACAGTTCCTTCAAGAGCATTAGAAGGCAAAAAGGTCCTGGCTGGGGTGCTGGTAGCAGCGGGAGGGCGGAGGATACAAGGAAAGGGTGTAGGAGGTGAATATGGTGAAATACTATGCACTCATGTACGAAAATGGAAAAATGAGACCAGTTGAAACTCTTCCAGGAATAGGGGGAGGAGGGATAGAGGAGAATGATGGAGGGGTGAATTCAACTATGATATATTGTAAGAACTTTTGTAAACATCACAATGTACCCCAGTACAACAACAATAAAAAAAAAAAGAGAAAGAAGTGGGATGAATGGTTAAAAAAAAATTCTTTCAGCTCTGACTTGTAAAAGTGTGTTTCTAGTGTCTCTCCTTTAGTGAACACATTGTTTTGTGATAAATGCTTTTATTCGTTTATCTTTTATATATTTATTGTTATGAACCATTTTTACTTAATGTTAAAAGCTCTTTATAATTACACAAACATGTATAATACAAAAATGGAATCATGTCAACCCGATGACACACGTTAGGCTGTCACTTGTATTCTTTTTTCACTCGTCTCTGCCCTCCACCCCTTCCACCATATCAGTCACTCCACCAGGAGACCCTATGCTCACACCGTGGTCTGAATCCCTCCCTACTATTCTCCTTGCTCGAGTAATGATATAGAAACACAGGTGCACAAACATACCTAGAGGCATTCTTGATCAGTATCAGATCAGGCTCTGCATACTTTTCTGCTTTTTTTTTTTTTTTTTCTGATAGCACTGGAGTTTGAACTCAGGGCCTCACACTTGCTAGGCAGGCTCTATTACCATTTAAGTCACTCCACCTGGCCTTTTTTTGACAGGTTTTTTTCAAGATAGGGTCTTGAGAACTATTTGCCTGGGGCTGGCTTTGAACTGCAATCCTCCTGATTTCTGCCTCCTGAGAAGCTAGGATTACAGACTGAGCCACCAGTGCCTGGCACTTTCCTGCTTCTTGCTGTTTCTACTCAACAAACCTTCAGAGAAATTCCTCCTAGACTAAGTGGAATTGCTCTAATTATCTCTTTTTATTGTGGATTCCATAGTGAGAATGAAGATATATGGTTTTGTACTTGTTCTATGGAAAGTAACAAAGCTTCTGGTGAACAGAGATTCTGTGTTATATGGCAGAGGGAGGTTTGTGAAGCTACTTGGTTGTTACTTGGCACATGATGGGCAGTAGGAGATACTCTGGAACTTGACCAAGATGGAAGTAGGGACAACCACGGACTGTCATCTCTGTAGGTCAGGGTCAGGTATTATTTAAACAAATTCCTGAGACTTCCAGGTAAGTCATAGGGTGACCATAAGATATAAAGTATTTTGAAATAATATGATCAAAATAGACTAAGATAAGACTAATATAACATTATTAAAAGAACCAGTCTAGAGCTGGGGATGTAGCTCCATGGAAGAGCCTAGTGTGAATGAGGCCCTGGGTTCAATCCCCAGCACCACCACCAAAAAAAAAAAAATCAATCCAATGTTGGTGTCAAAGAAGAGCTTCCATCAAACTACTAAGTTCCTCTCTCCTTCACCTTGATGGTGGTGGTGAGCTGGAGAGAGTGAGGTAACAGCTGTGTGGGAAGGCTCTGAGAGGTCTAGCGTCCCAGCCACAGTGGGACTCCTGTTGGAAAGAAAGCATAAGTGATGTTTGGGTGGTGAGCATTTGCTGAAATATTGCAGACAAGATTTAGATGGTGATTAAGTGACAGTATGAACCCAGAGATAGGAGAGCAAATTACATAAAAAGCACTTCCTAGCTATGTCCTCCCACTGCACTGCGCTCAAGTACTGCCCTTAAGCTTTTTTTATGACAAAGGAAAAAAAAAAATCTTGTGTAATCTTAACGACCTCTCAGAGTCTTGAGTATATTCAAGGATCATGACACTTTCAACGATTCTCTCTTAGCACCAAAGACAGCTGTTCTTCAAACTAATAAATGAAATAAAAATTTGACCATGGACAGCTAAGCATCTTTTACACCCAATCTGATCCTTGTGATATGGCACTAAGATGGTTTCTGTAGGGATTTTTGGAATCCTGCCCGCCAACACCAGGAAGATAACAGAAAATGGCAACCATCAATACCTTTAAATCCATGAGTTCTGACCAGTTCTGACTTGAAAGCTGGCTTCCTTTATTATTTATCAGTCATTAAATGTTCTGACTCTCCTTTATTAAATGTTAAATCATCTTAAGTGGTATGGTTCTTGCTATTTGAAATGGCAAAGTGTAAGGGAAAAGAAAAAGTGGCCCATTTCCTTCTTAATTTGACATTCAAATAAAATACAGGGAGCACAACAGACAGGTCAACTGGCTGCTGACGGGGACTCTGTACAATTATTCATAATACAAGAGCTGTAATTAGGGAGAAATGTCTCCTTACAGCACCACTGAGATTTTCCGGTAGAGAGAATATTCTCTTGCTGTGTAGGTGAGAAGATGCTGGAATGTGCTCATTGCTTCCTTTCTCTCATCCAATGGCAAGAGTCCACTTGTAATAGTCACTATCCCAGCAGTCATCTCTCCCTCTCTACAACGTTGCTTGAAGTTATGCTCATAGGATAGGTGTTAGAACAAACAACCATAAAACTAAACATAATTATATAACTCAGTCACATTCAAGGATTGTGACTAGATTTGAACTCTGGGCCTTATGCTTGCTAGGCAAGTGCTCTACCACTTGAGTCACACTCCCAGCTGTTTTTTTTTGCTGTATTTTTTGGATAGGGCCTTATACATTTTACCTAGTCTGGAGTCAGGCTGTGATCTTCCCAATCTGTGCCTCTCAAGTAGCTGGGATTACAGATATGAGCCACCACACCTGGCCTCATTTAGGAATATTGTTGATCAAAAGTTTGAACCTATTTTTTTCCTTTTTTTTTAAATTGAGATGTATTTCTACTATATGGAAAGTCCACCTTCTCTTTAAATTCAACTACTTAGCTCATTACAATGACAAACTTCATGATGTGACTTGGTTTCTACAGCCTCCCCCATACCTTACTAACAAAACAAATGAATACCCAGAACTAAGCCTATTTCATTTCTGAAAGACATTATCCATCCAGAACGAAGTTAACATCAGTCGTGCCAAAGGGGACAATACCATAGAGACAAACAAAGATCTTTTTTCTTACCTTATCTCTGCTGTTTCGAATTATCTGAATTTTAGGGCACTTTTTTGCTCCAGATGAAATATCCAGCCAGTTTTCTAATTTCTTTCCTTGCCCACACGTTCCTTGAAAAGTGCACCTAAAAAAACAAACAAACAAACAACAACAACAACAATAAAACAAAGGCAACAGATGAACAGTCCCACACCGGAATTATCAACAACTTTGTCATATTTGGCTGAAGTACAAATTCTTTGTAGAGTGGATTATTGATTTAGAGCAAGGATCAGAGCTTGATGCTAAAACCATGAAAAGCAACGAGAAGACAGCAAGGTTTTCTTCCCTCATCATGTATAGAAGCAGAGAACAAATGTTGACAACATGTTGAACTTGGACTCCTGAACCATCTCTCAAAATAATGTCAAGAAACACATGGAAAGTACATTCTCTCATGGATTCCAAAATAAAGAACTCCTTTGTAGAAACACCTATCAGAGAACAGTCCATGAGTAGTTTACACATTGTATAAATCTGAATTCATTCGTAGAATATCAACTTCTTGTATAATTTGTTTTGTGTTTAAAAAAATAATAAAACTATTATTTTGTGCTTTGCAGTGTGATGATTAAATAGAAATATTTCAAGGGCAGAGTCTGCTCAAGAATTTGATAAGCCATTCCATAACCATCTGCTACAGAATATTTATTTAGACAGATTCCAAATTGTATCAAAAGACAAAGGTGAAAGAGTTTTCAGGGCCACTTTCCCAGGTCAGCCAGCTCAGAGGATGCCCCAAATAAGTTTTAAGTTGTGGTCAGGGGTCAATTACTTTGATAAACAGATGCACCGAAGCTGAGAAATTGAGATCCCTGGCTTTCTTCATGTGTCGGTCGCTCTAGGTCACACTAAGTGGGGAACCTTTGTCTAACCAGATGGGCCACCAACCCAACAGGAAGAATGAACACCAAGTACCACATTATCTTCAAATGGCATAGGACTCCATTGACATTCTTCTGAATAGTATCAAGGGAAGCCCCAAATAAATCTGGTACTTATGCCTCCTCAAGGGCAAAGGTTAAAATGGAGGAGTGGTGAACCAGCGACAGCAAGTTTTAAAAGAAACTAAAAACACGTGAATGATGACATGGAACAGCCACCAAATGGTGACCACAGTCAACTGTGGGATGTCCCTGGCTGGATCCCAGTGGAATGAGGCATGGATGGGCCCAAAGAGTGTATTTGACTTCAAAAAGATTTTATTTCTTCTTCCTCTTCTCTCTCTTTTTGATTCTGAAGAACTTTGTGGCTTCGTCTTTTAGCTCTATGCTAATTTGAATATGACAAAAATAGAACAGGAAGTCATTGAGTTTCACTAAACATCATCTCCAAGCACATACTCTTAGCATGTCATTCACTGGAGAACCCCACTCCCCGTGAGCACATCTGTGTCTCGACTCCCCGTACATCTGTGTTAGTTCCTTCCCCAATATAACCAAAAGGATTTTCATTAACAATTTTCCAAAGCCATAAATTGATCTGACCCTTGATGGCTTGCTCGCTCGTCATGGACATTAAATTCAAATTAAACCGTGTCTCAATGTCAGGGAGAGTTTGCAATGGAAGGACAAGTGCTACTGCACTGAACACAGAGAATGATATGGGCAGGTTCCTGGTTTCTATCTGAAAGAGATCATGACTGGTGAAACTGCCTCTCCTGGACACTCTGGTTTGGATAAGGCACTTCCTCTGCCTATAAGAAAGAAAAAAAAAATTCAGGCAATTCTAGGGAGATGGGAGTACAAATATTTTTGTAGGCTCTTAATGCTGCCTGCGAGTCAAGGCCTAAGGCTGCCAAAAAAACAAGTGTAAAATATTTCATACAAATAGTGCGAGGACTTGCCAATTTGTAGGCAGAAAACAGGAGTGCCACTGAGTTATCACTCCCCTTGCTGAACTCCTATAGCATGTCTTGTCAGAACCACACGTTTCAGTATTTAATCTTATGCTGCCTTGAATTACAACTCAACTGTTCCATACGTCTCTGTCATTCCCCCCAAGTAAGTGTTAAGCTTCTCGGAGGATTGGAGAACATCTTTAATATTTCTTTAGCAAATCCCTTAGTGTCTGGCAGCATGAGATGCGAATACTAGGGTTTCAATAAATATTTTTGAATGAATGGATGAAATATGAAATCTCTATAGGTCCTTTCTATTGGTGATTTTTCTTCCTAGAGTTTTGATTTATGTCTGACTCCTTTGGATGGTAAAAAGACTATTTTTAAACATAAGCTAAAAGTTTGAATCTGAAGATCAAATGAGGTGTTGTGGTTAGTTTATTTTTTGAAAAAAGACAATATATATGACTCCTTCATTTCTTATTCTGCATAAAAACAAAAATCTAACTATGTTAAGTGCTGGCACATAAATTCTCTTGTTTTTTAAAAAGCCATCTCTGAAATCTCTAAACAAATCTTCCTTGCTGCTCACCAGTTTAAAAAAATTTTTTAAAAATAAAAAGCAAACTGTGACACCAAGAATGTATAACCAGATGGTCAACCAACAACAGTATCTTATTACTTCTCAAATATTACAGATTGTAAAATCTTCACGACAGCATACTACCCACACATTCAAGTTTCTCAAGGAGGGGGAAGATCTTGGAGCATCCACATTTTAGTAAACAAAACTAGTTGCTTTGAGATAATTCTTTTTGTAAGCTGTCACTCTTACTCCTGTGTATTCATAAAAACCATGGTCAAGTACAGAAATACCTAAGCCAACGCCCAGATGACATTCAAATCTCATTTTCAGACATGGGTCTTGGTGAGGCTGAGCCCTCCAGTGAGCCACTCTCAGATGGGTGGACTTCTTAACTGGCTTCATTTCAATTTCTTTAGGCCACACATACGAGGGAAATTGGAGTCGGATTAACATGGGTGTTTTCTGGAGAAAATGGCAGAGATATATTTGTTTTCTTTGCTTCTGCTATTGCTTTTGACCCATCCCCTTCTGAGGATTTCTCTTAGTCCATTTGTCCTGTTGTCACAGAATACCTATGACTGTATAATTTATAAAGAATAGAGATCTAATTCTTACAGTTCTGGAAGCTGGGAGATCCAAGATAAAGGACCTGGTGCAAGCCTTCAGGCTGTGTCATCCCAAGGCGGAGGATGGAAGGGCAGAAGATAATGAGAGCCAGACACTGAATTTTAGTCTCAAGTCCTTTCCTTTCCTAACTGTCCTGAATCTATTCATGAGAGTGGAGCCCTCACTTCCCCCTAGGCCTCACCTTTCAACGTTATTACCCTGGGGTAAGTTGCTAACATGCTTTTGGGGGAACACATTCAAACCTTAGCATTCCACCTCTAGCCCAAAAAATTCATGTCCCTCTCACATGAAATATACATTGATCCCATGTCAATATCCTCAAAATCTTAACTGCTCCAATGCTAACTCAAAGGTCCAAAGTCCCAAGTCTGTGGGCGAAACCCAAGGCATGATTCATCCTGAGGCAAACTTCCCTCTGTTATAAGATCATGAAATTGAATAAGCTATGTGCTTCCAAAATATTCCCAAATACAATGGTGAGACAGATAGATATAAGATAGACGCTCCCATTGTAAAACAGAGAAATAGGCAAGAGGAAAGAGATGACTGATCCTATGTAAGTCCAAAACCCAACAATGTACACAACACACTAAATCTTCAGGCCCCAGAATAATTTCCTTTGACTCCATGTGTCACAGCCACATCCTGGGCACACTGGGGTGGGGCTGGGCCCCCAACGCGTTAGGCAGCTCTGCCCCCGTGGCTCTGATAGGCTCAGTCCACTCAGCAGCAGTCACGGGTTAGTCTCATGCCCACAGCTTTCTAGGCTGAAGTTGCATAGTGGTGGTTCTACAAGTCTAAGGTCTCAGAAGCTGCCCCATTCCCATGGCTTCCCTAGGTACTGCCCTAGTAGGGACTCTCTGGGAACTCTCCTTGTCCCTGTGGAAAGTCTCTGCATGGACCACCAGCTGTCTGTGGTAGCCTTTGAAATCTCGGTGGAAGCCACCACGGCCCCCCAGTTCATGAACTCTGTGTGCCTACACAATTAGTACCAAGTGGGATGGCCCACTACTCATACTCTCCAGAATGGTGGCCCAAGCTGTACCTAGGTCTGCATGAACCATAGCAGGGGTGGCTAGGAAGCACTAAGTCAGAATGCAATGAGCAGGGTCCTGAGGTGGATACCTATATGCATGCGCGCGCGCGCACACACACACGAAACCCTTCTTTCAAATCTCACCATGATTTTCCTTTCTAGAAACCTTGCCTAACCTCCCAGCTGATCTTGAAGACCTCTCAAATGCCTTTGAGGTCATCTTGAAGCCTAAAACTTCAAGTAATCTGTTTAGCGAGTAGTCCTTGGTCACACCTCTGATTTGATCTCCTAAAAATGTCTTTTCTCTTTTTTTGTGTCCAGGCTGCATATTTTCCAAAATTTATCCCTCTGCTTCCCTTTTAATTATAAACTCTGTCTTTAAATTATTTTCCACATCTTACATTTTATTATATGCAATTAAGAGGAACCACACAACTCCTTCAATATTTTGATTAGAAAAGTCTTCCACCATCCTCTTAACGTCAGCCTTCCACAAAGTCCTATGACATGGACACAGTTCCACCAAGTTATTTGCATCCGACAAGGATGGCATTATTCTCATTTTCAAAACCATGTTCCTCGTTTCCTTTAGAGACCTCATCAGAATGGCCTTTGCTATCCATACTTCTACCAATATTTGGATCAGAACCACTTAAGTAATCTCTAAGACATTTCGGACTTTCCCTGCATTTCTGATCTTCTGAGCCCTCCCCAGAATCACCCTCACCACCCCATTCACAGCAATGGAGGCTTTTTCTAGCATATTTCCAAATTCTTCCAGCTTCTACCCATTACCAGTTCCAAAGCCACTTCATGTTTTCAAGTGTTTGTTATAGCAACAGTATCAATTTTCTTAGTCCACTTTGTGCTGCCATGACAGAATATGGGAGACTTTGCCTTCAAGTTCCCACCTTGTAATTTATGAAGAACAGAGATTTATGTATTACAGTTCTGGAGGCTAGGAGGTCCAAGGTTGAAGGACCCACACCTGGCAAA